CCTGGATGCAGAGGGTGGCCCAAAAGAGCAATAATATCTGCTTAAAAACTTCCCGCACGGGCAAGCAAACGCCTCATCTGACCTTCTCCTCTGCCTCTACATATCGCTTAGAAAAGTGGTGGGGGGTCTGTAATTTATCTCTGCCTTCCCCCATTTAAAGGGAAGATGCTAAAACGGTGACTATAGCCTTCAAGCAAGTTTACAGCTTATGTGGATTTCAGTTGAATCAAGACAAAAAATAACTGCTCAGAGTCAAAAGATGTTGAGCGAGGGCTCAGGAAATACAATTGCCTGATGGTGAACTGTCAGTCCTGGGCACTGCAGGAATTACAAATTTCTAAGATTTTGACAGTACTGAATTTTCCCAGTAGAATGATTCTTTACGATTTTGATAGTATTGAACTTCATCAGTAGGATAATATATTATTCTAAATGGTAATAGAGCATGATACTCTATGGTCTTATATTTGCTTAGTTCCCACTAATTTTACTGGAGTACATGATATTTGGTCCCAAAAGTGATGGTGGCTTGGTGATGAGACTATGAGGTTAGAAGTAGCAATAGCGCTGTACATGTGAAAACGACAGGCTGGAAGCTTACTTCTGTCATAGACAATCAGAGTAAATTACCAGAAAATGTAAAAACTTTGTCTCCTTGCCAAAGGACATCTATTTGTACCTGTAACTGCTAGGTTTTGTAGTAAGACTTTTTAATTGAAAAAAAATGGTGGAAAGGATACTTCTGGTCATCTTCAAATCACTTCTGCGAGAGCCAGAGCCAGCTCCGTGGGGAAGGGGCCGAGGTGGCCAAAACCAGAGTGGGCGATGTGGGTGTGTGGGGCAGCTTGGGGAGGGGGGGACGCAGAGAAAAGACCAGTTTGTTTGTCAGCTTAAAAGCAGAGATGTCCCCATACGCACCCGCACCGTTTAGCTGAGGCGGCTCGTGAGGAACCAGAGCACTGGGCCCAGAGCTGGATCATCTCTCCCGGGTTGCTGGGAGACAGCTGGAAAATGCCTTGAAAAAAAAATCATAAAATTGTGTCTTTGTATTCTCCTTTGGCTTTGCATCTCATCCTGTGGTTCTGGAGCCGGGGTGCCAGTTCTGCACCGTTTCCCGCCGGAGCCCAGCAGCGCTTTCGGGGAGGGGAAGGTGCTGGGGCAGCGCTGGTGCCTTCGTGCAGCTCCGGGCACAGCCCGGCACCCCTTACACACAACGGACACGAGACCTGTGAGAGGCTTCAAATGCCCTTCCAGTCACCCTATGGGTAACTGCGCTCCAGCATTCCCACATGTGCTGGGGGGGTTTAGCTCTTATTTTCCCTTCCGCTCCCGTCAGAGCGTCTGCCAGCTGTCCTTTTAGAGGAGATTTGATGAAGTCTAAAATTCACAATGCTCGGTTGTCATTAGTCCATTGTGAAATGTAATAACTCATGATTTTTGCAAAAAGCTTTGCACTGACCTCTGATTTAATACCCTGGATATCAGGGAAGCAAAGCGAGTTCTCCACAAAGCCAGTTCCTCAGCAGAGGTCAGCGACAGGGCAATTGGGGCAGGTTCCACTTTCAGTAATATTGCTCTATTTAGAAATACTTTTCAGTTTTATGTGGTGTATGTCCAGGTGGACCTAAGCGTGTATGCTTAAAAATTGTGGTTTAGATAATGAAATATAATAATACTTCAGCCAGTTGCCAGAATATGCTCTTAAAATTGTTCTGTTAATGTGAGTTCTTACACAAAGAGCTGCCTGCTGCAAAAATCTGGAGCCAGGTGGTTGCCTGTGTCCAACCCAGGGACCATGTTTCTTTAAAGGAAGTTTTTCTTTTCTATGGTTTATATAGAGTTTGCACTGAAGGAGAAACAATGTTGCTTAGTGGTTTTAATGTGTATAAAAATAATGAGGGCTTAACAAAAACAAATAATAGGACTGGTTTTTAAACTGAATTAGCTGGTGGCCAAAGACCCAGCACAGCTGACAGAAAAGGCTGATTAGGTTGGTTTTAGTAGGCACTTCCTTTTTGTGGACATCCAGGGCATTGATTTTAAACTCCGACTTGTTTCTTGTCTTTTTGTTAATTGCTTTCTGTTTGACATGCAGGAATTTCATCGTGGCTTCCATGTTAAACTGATTCACGTTTCGTTTACTGCACGCTCCCATATGTCTGTATATATATATGCAATACATGTAAGTATGCCAGTTCACACACGCTGGTGTTTAACCAATAGAAGGCTATATATAACAGCTTTAATTATCTAGATCTGAACAGTGAAATCGAAACTAAATTGAGCTAAATTGTTTTACTCCTTCTCTTCACACAAGAAGAGAAAAGCTGGACAAAATATAATCATTCGCACAGTTGTACCTATGCTTGTCTAAATGCATGCCTGCTCTGTGGTTAGTCTTCAGTGGTAGTACTCAGTTAATTTTTTTTTTTTTTTTCTTAATGTTTGCTCATTCTTCTACCAAGTAAATAAGACCATTATACCGATGATAGTCACTGTACTAATTTAATATTCTGAATATTAGGTCTCCAGTGACTTGATTCAGAACAAAAATTTTTCTTCCAACTCAGCGTTTCAAAAGCTGTTTTGATATATGCTGGAACTCAAATGTCAGTGTTATGAATGAAAGAAAATCATAAGATACATCGGATAAAATGTTTTATTTCCTTTTGAGTTAGCATTTGAATTTAAGGCTTCTTTTTGTTTCCAGTTTTTAAACCAAAATGCCTATTAGGAAGATGGCACTTAGAAATCAATTTGTAATGAAAAGGACTGATTTAAGATTCTCACGGGAAATAAGAAATTCAGCTTGAATTTTCATTTCAGTGGGTGAGCGTAGGGGCTTCTGTACATAGCAAATGTGAGTCAGGTCCAGCCTCCACAGCGGGTAAAGCACTCCACTAAATTGTTTCGTCATTTGGAGGTGGCGTGACAGCAAAACGGTCTTAACGATTTTCTTCAGTGACTCCACTTAATCCATAATGGAATAGATTGGAGGAACCTGATCTCAGGCACATCGGGTTATTCAGTGGGCTGCAGCTGAGTGCCAGGGGTTGGGTCTCCTGGGGGGCTTCACCGCTGCAGCGGGGTGGGGGCGCGGGGGCCGGGGATGTGGGCGCAGCTCCCAGTGCCGCTCTTCCGCGCCCGGGGTGGAGGGGACGTCCTTCCATCCCTTCGGGGGAAGGGCTGGATGTGGTCCAGCCCCGTGGCCGGGCTCCGTGGGCTGGGGCTTCCACTGAGCGGGTGATGTCCAACGTGGTAGACACTTTGAGTGTTGAGGGGCTCCTCTACTTAAAAAATTGAGCTTTAAAGAGCTCTACCAGACAAAATCGTCAAAAGCACCTTCCAAAAACAGAATCACAGAGTCACAGGATGGTTTGGGTTGGAAGGGACCTCAAAGCCCCTCCAGTCCCACCCCCTGCCCCGGGCAGGGCCCCCTTCCCCCAGCCCAGGGGGCTCCCAGCCCCGTCCAACCTGGCCTTGAACCCTTCCAGGGAGGGGGCAGCCACAGCTGCTCTGGGCACCCTGGGCCAGCGCCTCACCACCCGCACAGGGAAGGATTTCTGCCTTAGATATAACCTAAATCTGCCCTCTGTCAGTTTAAAACTGTTACCCTGTGTCCTACACGTAAGGGAAGAGTTACTAATCTGTGATTATATAAATTCAGGCACGCTAAGTATTGTAACAGGTTTTAAAACTGCATCTCCAAATTAATTTGAAAATGTGGATGAAGTTCTAAAACCATTTTTAAACCCTAGATGGTTTTTTAAAGTTTTACCTGATGATACTGCTCTGTCAGACTCCCAGAATGAACAGGAGTAGTTGCATACAGTTAGAAATAAATGGCTGCCTAAGCAACTTGGATTTCTGGTAGAGCACTTACAAAATTAAAGCATGTAGATAACATTGACTAAGTAGTCCTATTTCTGTATGTGTTTTGTGATCAGTACCACATAATTTATTGTGGAATGAAGTTTATGAAATTCAAAAGAAACATAATAGTATTTTCCAGATTTTTTCCAAAAATCTATAATGTCCACTATAAAATCATCATCTTTATCTAGTTGTGAATTCTGTAGCACAAATGTAACTTTTGATTAAATTCTATAAAGGCGATCAATAAATCTGCAAAAATCTATTATTTGCAATTAAATTCTGTAGAACTGTTCCATAAGTACACACACTGTAAGCTCAAAAAGGAGATCAGCCTTTGGATGCATCATTTTTTGATGTGGATGCTCCTCCTAATAAAAAATGATGGCAAACAAAAATAGATTTTCTGTCATGGGTGGAATTGTTCTTTTTCTTAATGCACTCCAAATATTTCTGTAAAGCATCATCTGCTCTTTAAATACATATTTTAGAACATCAATGAAAGTCAATACCTTTTGTCAATGAGTAAAATATTAAAACTAATGATCTGGGTGATATCTGACCTGTTTCTTATTTAGCTATTGATTCTGCCTCTCTTTTTTTATTTATTTCTTTTTTTTCCCCTCAAAAAACAGTTAGGGATTTGGTTTTAGAATCAGATAGAACAGCCCAGGTTGGAAGGGACCTCAAAAGATCATCTGATCCAACCTTTTGTGGGAAAGGGAGCCTGGATGAGATAATCTAGCACCCTGTCCTGTTGCATCTTGAAAACCTCCAGCTCGGGGACTCCACCACGTCCCTGGGCAGGTTGTTCCAGTGACTGATTGTCCTCATGGCAAAATAAAATTCTTTCTTAAACTGAGATTAAATTTCTCCCACTGCAACTTGTACCCGTTGCCCTTTGTTTTCTCCATGTGGCCACATGATTTTCTTTTCTAAAAACAAAGTGACAGGGGTGAAACATTTAAAAGCTGTTTCAGCTATCTCTTCTTGATCCAAGTAATTATTCTGGCTATTTTTCTGAGCCAGGAGCTAACAACAGGGTTTATTTTGGTCAGCTGTAAACAAAGCACTGTGCTTCTATTTATCAAATTACTTTGCTTTTATCTGAAGGTCAGGATGAAAAACACTGACTGAGCACCTGAGATAAATGGGAACCAAGGCCAGTGCCCAGTGCCCTGCCTAATATTCTGGCAGCCGCTCCGGCTTTCCACCGTGGACCTTATTCCCTCTTCATGGTGTGGGAAGATGGACTTTTTGTTCAAACTGTATTTCTGATGAGTATCTTGAATTCAATAAAAGGTACGTAGCTGCAGTTTGATCGGTGGGTCTGCTGCTGTGCTGCGTGGCTGGGGAACACTACTCCTGCGCCGGGGGCGGCTGGACGCGCCCCCGTGGCCCCACGCCGAGGCTGCACGTGCCCCGGCCCCGGTGTTAAGACCCCTCAGGCACCCCCAGCCCGTGGGACGAGGCTGGGGTCAGCGGGTGGGAGCGTTGCAGAAGCCCGTGGGGATCCGTTGTGGGAGTGGGGGCCGTGGGGAGCCCCCCCCACCGTGCCGACCCACGGCGGTGGCTGTTCTGCCGCTCTGCACCCAGAGGGATTTTATTCGATGGTTGTTCCCATTCTAAAGGGTGAATTAAATTTTTCTTAAACTGGCTTATGTGACTCAATCTGTTCAATATGGTGCTGGAAAGGTAGGGGCTTCTACTTATTGTATTTACATTGATGTTGCTTTTAGTGAGAAAGTGGTACTTTTGACGTATAGATTTTAATTAAGACTGAAAATAACCTCTCAATGATATAACTAAGATCGGATGGAAAAATTCATTTTTGTATGAGTCTGAACTGCCTGTTTCAGTAATTCAGATGATTAAAAATTGAACTGGAGATTGAAGATACTAGATTAAATAAACAGTAGAGTATTTTAAGTTACATTTAATACTATTGTGAGTAAATTAAATAAGTGGCTGTCACAGGAGTGAAAGGAAGAGAAGCAATGTAGCACCTTCAGTCCTGCTTTCCGCAGGCTGACCTGTACATTTCAACACTGAATGGCTTAACCTGACACGCTGTTTGAAATGTTTCTGAATTATAATCAGCGCTGCTCAGGGAACCCACATTCCTGTGGTAATAAGCTGTTACCTGTTGCCCTCAATTATTCTTAGGCTGTCAAGTACAGTTCAACAGCCTGAAAATGGAGTCAACGGCGAAGAGGGAGGGGGAAACCCCAGAGTCCACGAAGGGCAAAGAGAAGTTTGAAAGGTTTAAATGGGTTGAGCAGCATTACATCAGCCTGTCCCCGGTCACGACACGGGGATGGCAACTGTCTGTGATGCTCGTGGGGGTGCATCTGCATCGGGAAAGGAATGCTCTCTGCGCCCCGGGGAAGCTGCGTGAGCCTTCTGAAAGCAGTGCTGGGAGAAAGTCTTGTAAACATCTGACAGAAACGTGTCTTTCTAATAAATATTGAAGTACACCCTTCCCAGAATTTGGGACTATTGGTTCTGGCACGGATTCAAGACTGTCTCTTATTGAGTGATTGATTTCTTTATTTCTGTTCTCTTCTGCCAGCCCCCGGGAACGTGATTGAGTTAAATCTGGAGAACTTTAAAAGCACAGTGAATTTATCAGGGAACGGAATGAAGGTACTTGGGTGGAGGAGGATTTGGGTGGAAGCAGGGCAGGGCAGAGTCTCGAGCTGTGCATTTGCCCACATCCTGCAGAACAAAGTAATCTCAAAAGTCTAATTTCATCTGCTCATTTGAAAGCGGCTGGGATGGGGAGGTTGGGGTATGAGAGATGGGATTCTTGATCCAAGGGGGTTTTATGCAAGGGTGTCTCCATGCTATAAAATGTTAGAGCTTGGTGGCTGGTCATCAGCTGGATCTCCATGGGCATCAGTCAGTTCCTGCCACTGAACTTCAAAAAACCATTTTCTGTTTTTATGAAAGAAGGTGGTGTAGAGCAAGTCTGCTGTGTCTGGCAGGGTATTTTCATATCCTTAATCTGGATTATACTGTACATAACCGTGTGTTTTGCTCATTCTTTCCTCCTTAGACCATTGTGCTAGAGCAGCAGAAAGCTGCTGGATGCTGGGCAGAAAAGATGAAGATCTGATGCTGAGGAGAAACAAAGATCAAGATGTGCAGGTGACACAGTTACTCATCAATCGGCACTTACCGCATAGATTCTGTATTTCAGTTACAGAATTTAAAATTTAAATCACTCTTGTAATAACAATATTACAATAGAAGGACGCGAGGACAAGTGACAGTAGGCAGTATTTATTCCCTTGTGCCAAGAATTTAAATGTGAAGAGCAGGTGCTGCAGCAGCGGCAGTGCAGGGAGGATGAGTTGCAGTTGGTAAAGCACAAAATTCCTCAGAAGCAGAAAAGAATCATAAGCATCCAAAATGCCACTGGGGAAAGCTAGAAAAGCACTGTTTTCTTTCAGATCAAGACAATTTTACCAGCATTTTTCAAATAGCTCACATGTTGGATTCTTGTTCATCCTTGTTTCTCTCAGAAAAGGACAGGCTGCCACCCAGCACTATCTGCTCTGGGGCAGGGAGCATTATCTTGCTTTGCAGCCTGCACAGCATTTTCCTCAAGCAGATAAATTAAAGAGGGTTAGTGACTCTCTGTTATTTACATATGTAATGTTTTTGTTTCCTCTACACATTCTCTGTCACAAGATTTAACCATCTCGGTAACTGCAGATTATGGCTCCTGGCTGATGTTGGTGTCCAGAGCCGTAACTGACTGCTAGGAAGTGCAAGAAATAGCTAAAATAGTCAGTAATTCAGCACAAAAACATTTCCTCATGGGCAACATGCAAATAAGTTCTTAAGCTTAAAGAATTTGGAAAAATTGCAGTAAACTTGGTTAAAATAATGGTTACCTCGCAATACAGTTATTGGCAATCCTTTTTTAATTTGTTCTAGAGAAAATTGGATTCTTTTATAAACTGGAATTGGTTTTATACCTCACAAGAATTATAAAACTTAAATTCTTTTGTTACTTTTTGTTATTATTTGGGTCAAGTCTTTGAGTCAATCAAAACTGTTGTGAAGCACAGGATGTGATTTCTGATTAACCGTTTTCTTCCCAGGACAGGTGGTGCCCAGACCCTCTCCAGAGGCGTGGAAACAAATTCAGCCAGACGCTACCGAGGAGCAGTCCTGAAATATCCTGTGGGCAGAAGGGATAAGGGCAAGGTCACTGTTTGGGGGCTTTGGACTCTTTCCCATCTGCTGTCAAGGTAAACCATCTCCTAACCTTGCAGAAACTTTTGTATCTTCAGCAGAAAAAGTGTGTAAAGGGAAGGAGTTAAGTACAGTTTAGCAGGAAACTGTATGGTGCATAGAAGAAAAATAGCTTTGAATTTTATAGTCAGCTTTAATTGATCACTTCAGCTAATCTCTTTGATATCTAACTGATGACTGCTTTAGACTTTTTTTTTTTTTTTTTTAATGAAGGGTTGAACACTGGATAAGATCTTTTACAAATACGATTAAGGAAATACACAAAATCAAGATGACTAGCTAATGCTGCACCGCTCAGCTGGTCGAGCAGGAGAGAGGATAAATATTAAATGCAATTTAATATACAACAAATTTTCAGTGTCTGGCATCCCAATGCATCAAGAAATTTTGTTTGCTTCTGGCCAGGAAAATATCCTATTCATATTGCTTGGGAAAAATAATTACACTGCTCATGCTTATTTACACATTCACAGTTTGCTGGAAAAAGGCTGATTTTCCACCATTCACTTACAGAGTTCTTTGAAGAATTCCTGCTATTTCAGTATCAGCAATACTGTACCTGTTGGGGGCTCTTGTAACCATTCAAGAGCACAACCCGAATGATGCAAGACCAAAATATTTCTCCTTACAAGAGACATCCAATGACCCATCTATATTAATGAGAAAAAAAAAAAAAAAAGTATTAAACTCATAAACACTTGAGTGAAGATCCTTCTTATTCTCTTGCAGAGGAGGTTGCAGGGGACAGGTTTTGCAGTTTGGGGCACAGCTGCAGCCCCGTTTCCCAGGCAGACGCGAGGCTGGCGTGGTGCCCTCGGGCCCTGAGCACTGTGTTACCCACGCCTCCCTCCATCTGCCCGCTCGCCCAGAAGCTCGCCCAGTAGCCCACCTGCTCGCCCAGCAGCCCACCCACTCGCCCAGCAGCCCACCCGCTCGCCCAACAGCCCACCTGCTCGCCCAGCAGCCCACCCTCTCGCCCAACAGCCCACCCTCTCGCCCAGCAGCCCACATGCTCGCCCAGCAGCCCACCCGCTCACCCAGCAGCCCACCCTCTCGCCCAACAGCCCACCTGCTCGCCCAACAGCCCACCCTTTCACCCAACAGCCCACCCACTCGCCCAGTAGCCCACCCGCTCACCCAACAGCCCACTCGCTTGCCCAGTATCCCACCCGCTCACCCAGCAGCCCACCCACTAGCCCAGCAGCCCACTCGCTCGCCCAGCAGCCCACCCACTAGCCCAGCAGCCCACCCGCTCGCCCAGCAGCTGTGGGGCAGGGAAGGCTGAACACAGCGTCCAAGCCTCGGCGCGAGCTGGCAGCCCTGGGCGAAGGGCCCGGGGCCCGTCACGTCGGGGCTGTGGGGTGGGCAGCGCCTCCCCCCCCGCTCTGCCCGCACGACTGAGCAAGGCGAGGGACGCGAGGAGCTTCCCGAAATCCGCTCCCTCATCACAGGCGGGATCCCCAGCAAGGCGGAAAACATTCACGTTCTGCCCTGCGAACCCTGCCCTGAAAAACATTCAGGTAAGGAGGTGCAACTCCGAATTTAGCCCTCCCACGTGCTAAAATAACATAAGAAACCTTAAAAAATTAAACTGCTGTCAATCCTGGATGAAAGGAAAGATAACAGGTGAGAGTTTCTCCTAATCAGTTTATTCTCCCACGAAAAAGCAGAAAATTAAGAGCTCTTCCTGTAGAAGTAGAGCTATTCTTTCTTATTTCAGTGTAAAAACAAATAAAGCATCTGGAAATACAGTGAAACTTATTATAAAGAGCTCAGTTAAGTCTTCCAAAACATTTTGAAACCAAGAGTTTTAAAATATAAAAACTCTTGCTGACTAAAGAGAATAGATTGGAACATTTTGGGTTTTAAAAAAAGTACGTCATATATTGGGAAAGAAATATGATACTGTGTCATCACACTACAGGTATAGGAATATTTTATCTGTAAGAATATATCAATGGTCCAATAAAAAAATCCCACCTGTAAGTGTAGAATATGTATTCCCAAAACATCTACAAATACACAGGCTGTACCTTAATGTCTGCAGACTAGCAATAAAGAGATAGTTACACAGCTGTATAAATTTAAACAGCTTTTATAAAGACAGATTAGGATTGAAATAGGGAGGAAAGAAGATTGTAATTAATATGAGTGGAAGAGAATAAACCAAGAATTATTGAAGTGCTGGAGTGGGATACAAAATGGGGGGTGGAGTAAGGACATTTAAACATCATATGTCACAGAAGTTAGAAGGAGAGTGGGATGTGGGAATTTCCCCTTCAGTGGAAAAATCGATGGGAAGAGCCAGGAGGAAGGGAATTATTGTATTACAGCATCAAAACCATTTTCCATTCTCAGGAAGGCTGTCTGTATTTGATGGATTTCTAGTGAGTGTGTCCCTTTAGCTTCTGCGGCATTGATATTTTCATTTCTCCAATATTCAGGGTTGTTTTCCAGGTGATCTGACAGAAAATAGCAATGACAGTTAATACATGGTTTACCTAAGCATTTTTTTTGTGGTTAGCTTTCAGAGCAATTATGAAGTTACACCATTTCTGCAAGAAGGAGAACCGAAGTGGATGCTGAAAGACAAGGGTCAGAGGCAGGACCCAGGCTGGGCTCGAGCCCGGTTTGCTCTCTGTTCTCTCCAAGCAGTTACTGAGAAACATCCTTGTAGTAAGTTTGTAAATAAATCAGTGTCAACGCACCAGCTCTCCTCGTCTTCTGCTCAAGTTGCTTTGTAGTTTGCGCCTTTCGCTGTACGTCACTTACCTGGCCTTATCCTGACATGTGTAAAATCTCAGCCAAAATCAAAGCCCGTCTTTCAAAATCTTCAGGAGAAATTTGTCACAGTTGTTTTTCATTTCTGCCCAGCTCTGTCCATACCAACCAGGGGCTGTAGTTAATTCTGCAGGGCCAGGCTCTGGTCAGCGTGGCAGCAGACTAAGCTGAGCTGCTTTTCAGACCTCGTCCTAACTCTGCTTCTAATGATAGGGGGCTTTATGGTACATGGCTTTTCACAAACGTACAATAACAGTGTGACTAACACTCTCTGAAGACTTTCTGAATTTTAGCCACTGTCCTAAAACCTGTTTTCCTTTCTATCAAGGCAGGGTTGTGATGAAAACCTTTCTTTTGGGTTCGGCAGTCACGCTCTGGTAAGTTCAGCGCTGTGCTGCCTGCAATGAATTTCTTTTCCTGTAAGGCTCAAACAAGTCTTTTCAGTGAACATTTAGATTTTCACAGCAGCATTAAGAATCAAAGCTTCTGGTCCATTTTTGTGTTGCTAGAACACTATTCATTATCTTTTTCAGTAATCTAGGAAAAAACATCCATTTTCAAATTAAAAAAAAAAAAAAATCCTCCAGAATACAGCAAATTCAAAGAAGGATTTTACAAGGTACATGTGTTGGAAGGGAATATCGGTGCCGAGGGAAGGGTTGGGATAGCACACATCACAGAGAAAACTTTTTCTCGTGCATGTACCCAGCAGTTATGTGTCGTCTTCCATATCCTGTTCATTTGTGAAGTTCACAAAGCAGCAAGTGGATCTTAGTTATGTCCTTTAATGTCAGCAAGAATTCTTAAAACCTAGGTGCAATCTAGGAAAACCTGGATCAGCAGAAGGCTACCCAGCAGTTCTGGGCTCATGGATTTGCAGGCAGGTTTGCTGTTAGTGACTCGACTGACTGAAGCCCCCCCTGCCCCCGAGAAGGGGACAGCTGCTGCCACGGGGCCCCAGAGATGGTCTCTTCCAGTGAAAAGTCGTGAAAATCTTCAGCACGGATTCATAGTGACAAACCAGTGACCCTCCTCCCCTTTTTCCCATGTTAAATTTAATGCAGCTTTTCACATTTCACACAAGGATATTAAGAAAGAAATTAACCTAGAAACTTCAATTAGTCCTAATCCCAACGAGGTCCCTGGGAAGGGATAACCAAGCAAACAAACTTAACATTTCCCCAGCCAGGCCAACTGGCAGGATGGTGCTTTCTGGAAAATTAATCAAATCAGTGGCCTGGAGAAAATTGCCCAGGATGACTTTCTCAGCGTTTACAGGAACTTCTGCCAGGTGTTAATGTTATTCATGCAGTGTAGGTGAGTGGAAAACTGTAATTCATACAAATAACACAGGGGTTTTATATTGCCCTGATAAAGATCTTATGTGCCTTCCAGACAGCTGCAGCAGCTACGGAGCCACCTCAGACAGGCGGTGCTTGGGCAGGACTTTGGCCTTTTGCTGCACTATTGATCTGTATGTTCTGGAGTTTTTCAGTCTCACTCCAAAGTTTCTTAGGCAAGACTATTATTTAAGATCATAAACCAAACTAATGGGCTTTGGTGTATTTTATGTATCAGTTCTGCTATTCCAAACAGGGTAGAGCTAGACAAAATTACAAATTATTGTGTGCATTTGCCTTTTATAGCAGAAGATCTTGCATAAACAGCCTGTGGGACGAGGACACCCATGACTGCCTTTGGCTGTGACAGCAGTGCTCATCTTTCACGATGTGACCCATATGGAAGTGGAGAAGAGTGCTGTGAGTGTAATGTATCTGATAAGGTTTACTCATGGACTTTACCGCTTGTGAGTTTTGCTGGCAATTACTGGAGCGAGATAAAAGTGTTCCAGGAAGAGAGGAGAGGAAAAAAAAAAAAAAAAAAAAAAATGACAAACCTCCAAATATGCAGAGGAGTATCTTAGTTTTACAGATGCACATAGCATTGATCAAAATGCCACCTGCACACCCTGGCTGGTACCCTGGATTATACAGTTTCCCCGAGTTTACAGGATACATAAAATATATATTTAATGAAGCAGTCACCAGTCTGTGGATCCAATAGGCTTAGGAAGTAGAGTATGGGATTTATATGCCCAATTCCTGTTCACAACAGATTATTTGAGAGCAAAAGAGGAAAAGGGAGCCATTTCACCATAGTAACTCTTGTTAATTTTTATGATTTAGAGAGTGGAGTCCCAAAGTGTTCAGAGCAAGCTCAGGCGCTTTCTGGAATCTTTCAGGGACATGCGGGTCCTTGTTGCATATTTGGTAAAGGCGGGGCGTTTAGCAGCGTCAGGGTCCCAGCCCACCTCCCGAGGCGTAAGGGGGGTGCCAGGGGCCCCTGGCCAGCACCGGAGGGGGCTGGGCTGTGGAGGGGGAGAACAGCCACCAAATGTTGGTGTAACACGGAACTCAGTCAAGACTTTTCCCAGCACGCTTGTCTGAAGTTAGCTCGGGCACGCATTCAGGTGCTGGACTGAGGAGTCCTGGGCCGAGTCACCTTCAGGGGTGCCCGTGTCTCCGCACGGGCTCGGGGAGTGGGGCTGCACCTCCCGGGCAGGATGAGGCCAGCCCCGAGTCCGTCTGTGCAAGTCAGTGTCTGGCGGGGTCCCCACGTTCCAGGGGGTTGAGATGGCGATAACCACGGGTCACTCCGCTCTGTTCTCCCTCTTCGGCCCTTTCCAGGCAGTTTGAGATCCCAGGATCTCTCCAAATTTGGAGAAAATCTCATCTAAAAGTGCATCTTCCATTTTTAGAGCGCCTCTCGAGAAAGCCTGATGCTGGGATCCTGGGGGCAGCCCGAGGCAGGGGAAAGCAGGCGAGGATGCGTTATCCTCCCTGCGCAGAGCTCTGCCCATCTGTCCTCCAACACCCGCGTCTGCTTCTGACAGGGATGGACCGTACATTCAGGAAACATTTTGTTTCAATTTGAATTAATTTTCTGTAATCGTTAACAGCAATTTCTAATCAGAATGACATCCACCGATGGATGATAATAGTCCCCCAGAATTGAAATGGATACTGAAATCTTTAGCTCAATCCTTATTAAAATGTTAGTGACTACCAGTTTTAAACACACATTTTTAATTGTGAAAATTGTTGTTATATGAATTACAATCAAGTCCTAATACGCCCGACTTAGAAAAAAATATATTTGAAAATACATTTCAAGCTATTGCTTGGACTTCAGCCTAATACATCTTAACTGTTATAATTGCTTTCTCTGAATAGATTTGGTCACACAAGAAACACTTTAGTAAATTTTAGGAGGGGAAAAAATGGACATAAAGAACAGGCTTTCTTCACACTATTTTTATTTCAGTGCGCATCAAATCCTGGTTTTATAACTTATTAATGATAAATTGATCTCAGGAGATATTAACTCTGTATTTACAGAGTGTTTAGACATGCTGGGGGCTGTTTTAAATGTACCAGCTGCTCAGTGCTGATTTAAGCACACAGATGTTCTTATTAGCATAACATTCAAATTCAGTGCCCTTCTTATCTGCATCCTCCAAATGCACAAAAACAACGGCACCAGCAGCAGCAGCAGCACCGGAGATTCGTGCGGGAAAAGCCTCTTCTCTGCCGGGGTGTCCCTTGCAGCCGAGAGCATCATCCCAACCCACCTCCCCGCGTCTTCTCCCGCATGCAGGTCCCCCCCGTGAGAAGAGGGGTGATCCCGGCGGGGGGTGCGTGGTGGGGATGGAGGGATGAGGCTTCTCGCAGGTGATTCGGTGGAGCTGCCCAGGCTCGGGGCTGAACAGCCCTTGGGTCACATGTAAGCAACTAAAAAATGGGGACGGCCTTCTGCTTGGAGGTGTTCCGGTGCACTTGGCTGTGTTTGCGTGTTGTTGCTGCCGTGCTTTCCTTGGCGGTGATCTTTTTCAGCTCTGCTCCTGCCCTTGCTTTGTATTTTCGAGGCATGAGCTGTAATGGGAAGTAATGTTAGTGGTCTTTGAACCAAAGGAGCTGCAGATAATGACAGCAAATTGGCGCCTGGCTCCGTGAGTTGCATGTTACAGAAATGTGCCTGAATCACAGTTCAGGACTGGAGTACTACAGAACTGAAAAGGTCAAATCCAAACCCGGGCCGACTCTCTCCTGGCATGTTTTAATGTTGCGGGGAGGTCTGTCCATCTCTCCGGTGACAAAGCAGCAGAAACCTCGTTACAGCTTTTCCGAATCATCTTGGAATTCTCCCAGGCATTCACAGTAATCTTCAAGGTTTAAAAAGTTCATTTAAGTTTTCTTTCCTTATTGGATATTTTAAAATATACTTTCTATTGTTAATCATGATGAAGATTACAGCAATTATGACGTACATCTAAAGCAAGTGTTATCACAGGGGATATAAAGCCCTTTTACAGGGGGACTGTTCTCTCCAGGTAGCAGAGGTGTGAGAATAACATTTAGCTTCTCATTTTCAGTTTTCCATTTCAAGTCCTATATTGTTTCCCAGAGAAAAAAAAAAAAATCTTATGATTATTTCAGTTTACCCATGAACTGGAGTTTTATTAAATTTCACCAGAAATCTCCATTAATTTCAGCTCAGCCTCCTAAATGTACCACTCTTCCATGGTATGAATAAACATCAGGACTTCTGAATATTTTAGGCCTATATCAAATTTTTTATTTTTCTGGTTTTGTTTGACCTTCCTCTCTGCTTTTATGGCTGTTAAACCACTCTGGTCCTCAAATATTTTCTCACTGGGATATTTTTTGTATGATTTTTCCACATATATACTTTTGTTCCTCATTTTCCTTGCAATAACATTGACTACCTCATAGCATCTGATGGCTGCATTTTAATACCTTGTGGTTTTAGACTGTATGGTTTCAATATCTGGAAGCTTTACTCAAGAGACCAGGACCACAGGAGGAACACAAAGAGAGGCTGTTTGGTGGCTCCTTGCTCCCTCATAAG